AGTACTCTCTTTTTGTTTCCTTATTATATGAGAGGCAGAGAGACAGGGACACAGGGAAATGGCAGAGAAGCAGGAGAAAGAGAGCAAGAGAGGGACTACATTCTTCTTTGCCGATTCATTCCCCAGATGCTTCCAACAGCCAAGGCTAAAGATGAATAGTGTGAAGTCAATCAACTGAAGCACCATCCCACAGGTTCTACATTAGCAAGAAGCTACAGTCAGGAACCCAAGCACCCAGATAACCACCAGGCCAAAGGTGCCTGCTCCTCCTATCCTTGTACAAACATCCCTCCTGACTGGCACCATGGCATAGGTCAGACCTCAGCCTGAAGGCTGGAATCCCATATGGGTATTACTTTCCAGCCAATCCAGCTTCCTGTTAACGTGCCTGGGAAAGCAAGAGAAGATGGTTCCAAGTGTCTGGGACCCTGTACCGACATGGAAGATCTGGAAGAAGCTCCTGGCTTCCAATGCTTCAGATCAGATCAGCTCATTCTGTTGTGGGCATTTGGGGAAGGAAGATGTGAACCAGCAGATGAAAGATCTCTCCTGAATAATTCTGCCTTTTAAACAAATAAAAAATCTTAAAAATACCAATAAATCCCACTGAAGATATTTAGATAATTTGAAGTGCAAGATTTTACCTTTTTTTTCTCTATATTTGCCTATCTTCATTTATAGGAACTGTTGCCAGAATGAGAAACTCACAGTCGGTATTGAGCTGACTGTTATGCTCTAAGAACTAAACAACATATGCATGTAAAGGAGTTGGCTCATAGCAAATTCAGCATGGTCCCTTGTTCTCCTTTCAGTTTACTGCTGCCTGTCTCTGGCTCCTCCCTGTTCTGTCAGAGCAGGTCATTCCTCATGGTTCACAGTAACTGAACTAACTCCCTCTGTGCTCATTTCCTCTGACTTGAGGGGCAACAATAACAGCTTGGTTCCTATATCCTGCCCCCAGATCTTCTGCTTCTGCTTTAATCATCAGTCTTGGTAACTTAGCAAACTGGAGCAGTACTAGCTCAGAAGAAAATGAAGCTCACCGCTATGAATGCATTGCTATTACAAAAGCTGCCTTGAAAACAGTGTCTGTTCCTCTCCCAGGTTTTCTTCCTGCCATTACTAAAAGACTACCGAACCACTCTTTGCGGGTTTTGGTGTCATCCTTGGTTTTATACATGAAAACAAAGGACATTTTATAGGTTATCAATGCTTTTTATGGACTTAGAGGAAGAGAATCGAGAATTTCAAGAAACAATTTTAAAATGGCTGCCCCATAGTCTACAAAAAGACTAAAAATCTATAAAACCAATTCATTTTTAAGGTTTATTATTTGGATGACAAAGTGACAGTCGCAAGAGGGAGAGACAGGTGTTCTATCCACTGGTTCACTCCCCAAATGCACAACAGGTAGGGCTAGGCCAGAGCTAGGCACTGCATCAGGGTCTGCCATGTCAGTTGCAGGAATTCAGGCAAAGCTTTAGGTGCCATAGGCTGGATCAGATAGCCTGGGTGGGACTTAATCCCAGGCAGTCTGACACTATACCACAATTCCTATCCTCAGAGAGTTTGTTAACAGGTTCTGTAGAAAAGGACTCTCAAAAAGGCTTTAGGTTAGTCACGTAAGGATAGATAAATGTGCTTATCTCTGCTCTTTGCCTGGATCCCAACCATCACCAGACATTCCACAACTCATTTATTGGCTAGCAGTAATGCCAGTGCCCTGACTGGCTGAGCTGCCCTATCTTTGCCCCAATGGATTCTGACATCTAATTGCTTTAACATTCCACCTCTCAGCTCTCCAATCCAATTTCAGCTATATTTGGATTATGTATCACCTACTCTGATCTTCCATTGCCAGTTCCCATCCCACTAATGAAACTTATATACAAAGGAAATTGCTCTCCACACCACAACCACAAACAAAAACACATACAAAATGACAGGGGCTAGTTAGGGCTTGGCGCCACGCGCATCAGCCCACACTGGGGTGTTGGCTCAAGAGCTTGAGTACTTGCTAACCACATGGCAGATCTGGATGCAGTGGTTTTTTGCTATTGTTGTCAGTTTTTGTTTGTTTGTTTGTTTGTTTGTTCTCTATTTTTACCACTCAAGCTTCACTCTGCTTTTCAAAGGGGAAATAAACACTAAAAATAAAGTAGGGGGTAGCCTAGTGACACAGTTGGTTAAGCCACCACCTGCAACACCAGCGTCACATATGGGTGCAGGTTTGAGTCCTAGCTGTCCACTTCTAAACCAGCTCCCTGGAAAGCAGAGAAAGATTACCCATCTTGCCACTCTCTGGCTCTCTGAACTCTGCCTTTCTTTCCTTTCTTTCTTTTTTTTTTTAAAGATTTATTTATTTTTATTACAAAGTCAGATACACAGAGAGGAGGAGAGACAGAGAGGAAGATCTTTCCTTCGATGATTCACTCCCCAAGTGAGCACAACAGCCGGTAGTGCGCTGATCTGAAGCCAGGAACCAGGAACCTCTTCCGGGTTTCCCATGTGGGTGCAGGGTCCCAAAGCTTTGGGCCGTCCTCGACTGCTTTTCCAGGCCACAAGCAGGGAGCTGGATGGGAAGTGGAGCTGCCGGGATTAGAACTGGCGCCCACATGGGATCCCAGTGCGTTCAAGGAGAAGACTTTAGTTGCTAGGCCATGCCTCCAGGCCCATTCTGCCTTTCAAATAAACAAAATTACGTCTTTACAAAAAAATAAGTGGGAAGAAACAGATTTAACAATGAGCTTTTTCTGAAACAACATAACTAAGAAAAGATTTAACTTAAAAGTTCTGGAGTTTAATTATTCCATAAATTATTTCTTCAAAAACAAAAGCCATTTCTGATTAGTCAAGTTTTATGTTAACTCATTACAACTGGCCTAAAATGTTAGCTATTTAACCATAAACAGCATAAAATATCTCAGTAACTAGGGTACATTCTTTAAACTAAAAAACTAAAATTACAAATAAAATTCAGCAGTGTTAAAAATAGACCCGCTTGCAAACAATTATAATTTTTTCCTTCCTTTCCTCTCTACCAACACTTGGCATACAAGACGACTTCAATAATTTGTAGAGAAGTGGAATCTAAAAAGCAAGTTTTCATTTTGCTGCAAAAGAACTTTTACATGTATGAATAATTTTTTCATTATGTACATTTTCCATCAACTTTCAGAGTACCCTTCATACTTCCTTCAGTTTAAACATTTTCTAAATTCAGTAATAATAGGGAGCAGGAGTTGTGGCTAGCTAGCAGGGAAAGTCTCTTCCTGCAACTCCCGCATCCCACGTGGGCCCTGATTTGTGTCCCAGCTGCTATACTTTTGATCCAGCTCCCTGCAAATGCCCTGGGAAACATAGTAGAACATGGCACAAGTGTTTGGGCCCCCGCCACCATGTCAGAGACTCAGATGAAGTTCCTGGCTCCTGGATTTGTCCTGGCCCAGCCCTTGGTGTTCTGACCATCTGGGGCATGGAGCATAGGATTAAAACTTCACTCTCTCTGGCTCTGCCTCTGTTTACCCCTCTATATAACTCAATTTTTCAAATAAATAAAATAAGTTGTAAAGAAAATTCATTGCTTAGCAAAAACAATTGGGTTAAAATACAATTCTATCATAAAATGTTTTATACATAGAATCATTAAATATTATATATATATGTAATATATATAATCAGTGCTTAAAATTTAACTTTGGAACACACCTAAAATATTCTTGAAACAGTCCTAATAATTCTTTGCTTAGTAGTTAGCTTGAACAGTTTTCTAAAAGCCTTCCGATCATCTAATCCTGCAAAAGCTGTTTGTATCTGTCTAATTTTCTAACCAATTTGTATGAACTCCTCATATGTAATATACGTGTTATATATCTCAGGCACAAGTTTTACAAACATTTTCAGCCATCTATTTCCTTTCTCCCTTTTGGTTGTGATTTTGGTCTTGGATGAGAGTTCTGTTTATTTTTTAGGTTTATTGATATGAAAGGTAGAGTGACAGAGAGAGGGAGAGAGACTAAGAAATACAGAGAGCGATCTTTTTCCTAGTTCACTCCCCAGATGGCAACAACAGCCACAGCCAGGCCAGGCCTAAGCCAGCATCCCAGGACTCCATCCAGGTCTCCAACATGGGTGGCAGGCACTGAAACACTTAGGCCATCACCTGCCGTCTTCCCAAGTGCATCGGATCAGAATTGGGGAACACAAGTTGGAAGTTCTGATATGCGATGCAGGCATTGTGGACAGTGGCTTAGCACGTGTTGCCACAGAATTAGTCCCTGATTTTGGATTCACACAATACAAGAATATCAAATTTAGGAATTCTGGTTTTTCCACAAATGAGAATTAATGAAGAGATTCAGTGATGTTGAGACTTCCAGCAAGATGGAAAGATAAACTAAATTCATAGTTTGTGCCACAGGAAAGATGCTTCAAAGCACATTCACAATTAGCCATATTATTTCCAAACTACCCAAAATGGTTCAAACTGGGAAGCACTGAGGAAGCCATGAAATGAGCACTGTGTGGTTAAGAAGAAAAAGATAACAACTACAAGGCGAATATTTCCCAATGAATCATTCAGACCTAATAAACATGATTAAAGCCAATTAATTGATACAGGGCCAGAAAATAAAGATTACTTTTCCAAGAAACTAAATCATGGAAAGTCCTTTTTATTTCACTTGAAGGTGTTTTATTGATGTACAAAAAGAAATTACAGTTGCCTGGCAAGATAGCCTAGTGGCTAAATCCTCACCATGTATCATCCACTGGGATCCCATATGGGTGTCAGTTCTAATCCTGACAGCCCCAGTTCTCACCCAGCTCCGAGCTTGTGGCCTGGGAAAAAAGTCAAGGGTTGTAAAGCCTTGAGACCCTGCATTCACGTGGGGGATCTGGAAGAAGCTCCAGAACTTCGGATTGGCTCCAGCTATTGTGGCCACTTGGGGAGTGAACCATCGGACAGAAGATTCTGTCTCTCTTTGTCTATGTAAGTCTGACTTTCCAATAAAAATAAATCTTTTTTTAAAAAAGAATTAAGATTATGTCTTTTTATAAAATTCTCAGAAAACATGATTCCCTAATTTGTACAAAGTAGCTTTGCTCTTCAAGAATTTTTCTTTTCCATTTTATTTGAAAGTTAAGAAATATGCAGCAAAAAAACAGAGATCTTCCATCGAGCAGTTCAGTCCCCAACTATCTGCCCTGGCCAAAGTGGAACCAGGCCGAAACTGGAGTCCAGAGCTCAACCCAGGTTTTGGACATGACTGGCAGGGATCTAATTAACTACCTGATTAACTAATCATCCATAGCCTCTAAGACTGAATACTGGCAGGAAGCGGGGACCAGAAGTAAAGCTATGATCTGAACCCAGGAACTCAGATATGGGATGTGGGCACTTCCAACGGCACCTTAACTGCCATAGCAAAGCCTCACTCCAATAAAAAATACCTTTTAGAAATGAAACAAAGAAAGAGGATATGCAAATAATGGCATAGAAAGTGATGAAAAATACAAGTAAATATTTCCAATAAAATTATCAACACATTGTTATAAAAAGTATAAATGTTTACCATGCAATTAAAAATTTATATGTAAAGTCAAATTTACATAATAAAGTGCTAGTAGGTTTATATTACAAAATGACATTCGGTTTATGAAAGTATACAACACAAATTTTCTAAATGGACATTTTCCTTGTTCAATTTAACAAAAACCTTAAATGTATATAAGTTCAATATCGCTTTGAGACAGTGATCCAAGCTTCTTCCCTTGATGATGTTACTAATTCATACTTCATTTCAACAACTTGTCCCTCCACGGAATGCAGGCGAAGTCTCCTTACCAATACACTCAGAAGTACCGTGCACACTGTATACGCAAACCTAAATCAGAAGAAAGTTAACTAGTTACTGAACAGAAAAAATGACAGTTTAATTGTATATGCTGCTCATTCTTATCCACAGCGATCATCAACAAGTGTAGACCTGGCATCTCTTCCTTTCCCATTACTTTCTCTATCATTTACCTCAATTCTGGACATTCCTGTGAGCCCGAAAATCCAAGTGAGGAGAAAGTTTTCATTACTGACTCATCTGCAAACCGGTCTGGATCAAACCTACAAAATAAAATTGGGGGTTAATCACAATATAGCTCCCATATTGACACTAAAAGAACATAGATATAAAACTCAAGCTTAAAATCTAAAATCTACCGACACAGAAAATGCTCATACATATATCTACATATCACCTCTTTGTTCCCAAATTGTTGAACATGTATACAGAATATAAGTCTCTTGCTATTAATGATTTCTACACAATACATGCGAAATGCACTTCTCAAAACTGGAAGGGAAGGAGATTTAACAAAGGTTTCTTTCATTTTATGAGATACTTAATACAAAGCCAGAAAATATTTAAATAAATGTATGACCTGTTACATGAAACCAGCTTATCAATATGTGAAGCACTTTAATTGCCTTTTGAACTAATATTTATTTATTAAAATTTGAGGCTCTGGCCTTATAATTATCAATTACATTGAGATTTAGATTTATGGACAAAGAAGAGGGTCAAGAACAGGCTCTCATATTCAGAACTCACTGCGTAAAGTCACTGACAGAATCGATATTTTAAAGCCAAAGAAATAACCCACCAACTTTGGAGCATGAAAAATGAGAAAAAATATATACAGCAAGATCTTCCATCTGTTGGAGCGTTCCCCAAATGCCTGCAATGGCTAGGCCTGGGCTGGACTGAAGCAGAGAGCAGGGCACTCAATCCAGATCTTGCACGTGTCTGGCAGACACCTAATTTCTGGAGTCATTCCTTGCTGTCTTCTGGCATGTATACCAGCAGGAAGCTAGCAACAAGCATGGAGCTGAGACTCAAACCCAGGGACTTTGAAGTGGGACACAGGCATCCCAGCTGGGATTAACCACTAGGCCACATGTCTGTCCCTTCAAAAAAATGTTTCTGAAAGATCTAAACTATGAGCTAAAAACAAAACAAAAAAGAATTCTGATTTTATCTTATTAGCAAATGTGAATTTTTACTTTCAGAATTTACTTACACTAAAAAATATCAAATATAATCAGCTGTTCCCTTTTAAACTACCCTGAACTTAGGGTCTTACACGTCTATCTAATGATATTCAATTATTTGCAGATTAAAAGTAAGTCAAACTTGATCTTTTCAGATGATTTTATAGAGTCCCACATCTTCATGCATTAAACCAAAAACAGGGGCAGCAGGCTTAAGGACCAGCACTAGAAACACCACTGTCCCATGTAAGAAAACCTGAGTTCAACACCAGCCTCTGACTCCTGACTCAGCTCCCTATGATGTGGATCCTGAGAAGCAGAGGTGATGGATGAACTGACTGGGTTCTTGCCAGCCATGAGAGAAGGCCTGGACTGGAGCTCCTAGCTTTGGTCTCAAGCCCAGCACAGACCATCATGAACATTTAGGAAATGAAGAAGCACATGGGGGCACTTGTGTGTTCTCTGTGTGTGTTTCTCTCTCTATTCCTTTCTAAAGCAGTTTACAATTTTTTTAAAAAATAAAATAAGGTTCCAGTGTTAAGCAGAGAATTAAGCTGCCACTGTGACATGGCATTCCAAATGGGAGTGCTGGTCTGAGGCCAAGTCATTCTACTTCCCATCCAGCTTTTGTTCATGTACCAGGGACGGTAATGGAAGGTGGCTCAAGTACTTGGACCCTATCATCCACAGGGGAGACCAGGATACAGTGCCTGCCTCATGGTTTTGTCCTGACCCAGACCTGGCCGTTACTGCCATTTGGGGAGTGAACCGGTAGACAGATGGTTTCCTCTACTCCACCACCATCCCCCCACCCCCATGCTCTTTCAAACAAATAATTAAAAAAAAAAAGAAAGAAAGAAAATAAAGTGGTATTTGCACTTTTTAATCTTTACGTTCATCCCATTTAAAGGTGACAATTTTTTAGTTTCATTTTTAAAATGATGTTTATGTAAAAAGCAGAATGACGAAGTAAATAAACAGTGAGAGAGAGACCTGCCATCAGCTGATGTTCCCAAATGCCTGCTACAGGCTACAACTCTACCCAGGTCTCCCACATGGATGGCAGGGACAAGCACTCAATTCACTGCCTTCCCAGTTGCAGTAACAGGAAGCTGGATTGTAAGCAGAATATTCTGGATTCAACCTGGTACTTTGATATGGATGCAGCCATCAGAAATGATTTCCTTTCGTGCACTGTTATAAAAGGACTGGACATCTGTCCTAGTGGCTGCCACCTGTGTCCACATGGGAGTAACTGGTTTGACGCATGCTCCAGCTGCCGACTCCAGCTTCCTGTGAGTGCAGATCCTGGAAGGCAGTGGTACAGGCTCATGTAACTGGATTCATGCCACCCCTGTAGTAACTATGGAAGGAATTCCTGAGTTCTGGGTTCTGATCCAGCTTGTCCTGGTCAGGACAGGTATGTGGGGAGCAAATCATCAAATGGGAGCTCTTTCTCTCTGCGTCTCAAATTACAAATAAAGTAAAATGTAAAAACTTAAGGTGAGCAAGATGTCTAAAAAAGAGAAAAACAGTTAATATGCCCCTCTCATATTCCAGAAATCAATTACCTAGTACTTGATCCGTGCCACCAATCCTGCATTCCTATGTTTTATACTCAATATATATAACCTTATTACAGGGGTAAAAATCCTAACTGGTCATCTTACAGCAAAGTTTATTAGATGCCCATGTAGAAGCAAATAATAGCTTTGCTTTCACCTTTTCCTTCCTTGTCCTCTGCACATCTAACACACATACACGCTGCACCTGCTTGTGGAATTTCAATAAAGAGCTGAACAGCTAAGAACAAAAGGGAAAAAAAATCCGCATGAACAATACACACTTAACCAAAAAATCCCAAATTCTACTAAAACTAGGAGAGTTGTAGCAATCAAGTAATTAAGCAAATCTAATTACATATGTGATACTAAGAGAGATTAAGAGTAGTAAAAAACAAATGTATGGAAGAAAAAAATTAGTGAATGGAACAAAAAACAGAAGGCAGAGATTTTCTTTCTGTTCAATCATTGTTACATGAAACTTCCTCCCCAAAAGAGAAAGAAACAATGCACAGCACGTAATCACATCAAAATGAACAATGACAGCTGCTTCATACTTGTATGGTGACGGCCAAGCATCAGGATCCTGGAGAACCACTCCAAGGGCATACAAAATAAGAGTCTGCAAAATATAATACATCTAGTTAATCAAGCCTTAACACAGAAAAAAAAAATTTTCTCCCAGAAAATCAATTCACCCTAAAGGTTTCTTCATCAGATAATGAAAATTAAATAAAAACATAAAATATCGGGAAAACACACCCATCACTAATTTTGTATTCTAATTACAAGTGGGAAAGCAAGTAGTAAAAGCTGGAAGCCATAAAGAAATCAGACCTAACTATATCAAATCTGAAGCCTGCATCCAAACAAACAAAAAAAAGCCATAAGCAATAGTACAAGCAAATACAGGCAAGAAAGACACATGTGACATACGACTGATAAAACCGGTTTTTATAGTATATAAAGACACAAATTCACAAGAAAAAAGGTTGAAAGTTATAAAGAGATAGTTCACAAAGAAATACAAACTTAATTATGTACAAAAAATTATTAAATCTGTCCAATGGTCAGAGAAGAACAGATAAAAATTAGATAATTTTTATGCAAGATTCACAAAATATGTAGAAGATTCATAAATCCAGAGCTGGCAAAGATTTAGACAGAGAAATAATTTACACTCATTTTTTTAAGTTTATCTATTTACTTCTATTGGAAGAGCAGAATTACATAGAAAAAGAGAGGCAGAAAGACGTCCAGGCCCCTGATTTACTCCCCAAGTGTCAGCAACAGCCAGAGCTGAAGCGATCCAAAGCCAGGAGCCAGGAGCTTCTTCTAGGTCTCCCACGCGGGTGCAGGGTCCCAAGGTTTTGGTCCATCCTCGACTGCACCTCCAGGCCACAAACAGGGAGCTGGATGGGAAGCTGGACTGTCGGGATTAGAATTGGCACCCATATGGGATCCTGGCGCGTGCAAAGCAAGGACTTTAGCCACTAGGCTACCACACTGGGCCCTGCACTGATGCTTGTTAAAATCATAAACTGCCTTTTGGAGGACAACTTAAAATGTGAATACATAAAGTCTTTGAACTGTAAATTCTACTCTGTACCTGAACAAATCTGTAACTTATAATTAAACACATACATATACACACATACAAATTAACCTGTTAAAAACAGTACCTGTAGGGAAGGAGAGTGAGCATCTGCTATTTGGTAATTAAAATGAATTAAATTTAGTAATTAATTTGTGTTCTATTTAACAATGAGAAGAAATTATTGGGCATTTCAAAGAAAAACATTTTTAAATAGACACCAAAAGAGTTAAGAGAAATAACTGAATGAGCTAAACATGGCAAACGTTTCTCACCTCTCTAGGAATTACAAACTGGTTCACTTTTCCTTCAATATCCTGAAGCCGGGCAGAAACTGGTGTCAGTTTGGCAGTCCGAACAGTTTCACAAAGTATTTGCCGACAATATCTGTTAGGAAAAAAATCTATTTTAACAATTTGGGAGAGGCAATTTGATATATAAGTACATTTTTAAAATGCCATTGAAGAACTTCTCAAATCTTGCCAATTTAAAATAATTCATCATATTTTTTATTAGCTTAAAGGTATGATACAGAGAGCAGGTATACACATTTCTGCAGCATTGGGATCACATATGAGAACCAGGTTAAGTCCCAGTTACTCTGCTTCTGACCCATCTGTCTGCTCATGGCCTGGGAAAAGCAGTGGGAAATGTCCCAGCTGCCTGGGCCCCTGACATCCAGAGGGGAGACGTGGATGGAGCTCCCAGCTTCCTGGAACCTGTCTGGGCCTGGCCAAGCCCTGACTGTTGAGTCCAAGATGGAGTGGACTAGTGGATGAAAGATAACCCTCTCTCTGTAACTCTTAAAAAAAAACAAATAAATATATGAGGAGGAAAAAAGGCAATTTACACACTCACAGAAAAATAAATGGCAAGATGTGAAATCAAGATCTACCTTAATAATTTAAAATCTGCTAACTAAGCCTTTGTAGTTTTACTTGCCACATTGGCAAACATAACAAAAAATGAGTTTAGACAACAGACATTACTAACAAAAGCCGATACCCACAAATGCAGTTAGGGGAAGGATAAATGAGTATCAACTTTCTGAAGTGCAACTGACAATATATGTAAAAAATATTAAGTACATATCACAATGAGAGCAAAAACTAAAATGTACAGTAATTCTGTCATGAGATACTTCACTTAGATGCTTTATGTTTAGGACTTCATTTAATCCTTACCAAAACACTGAGAGCACTATTATTTTTACAGATTAAAGCTAAAGGCAATCATTTAAGATCATACTGCAGGAAAATGATATTGATAGGACTCAAACTCATGCTGGTTTTACTTCAGAGCCCTATATTCATTTTTTTTAAGATTTGTTTTCTTTTTATTGGAAAGTCAGATATACAGAGAGGAGGAGAGATAGAGTGGAAGATCTTCCATTTGTTGATTAACTTCCCAGTTGGCTGCAATGACCAGAGTTGCGCCAATCTGAAAACAGGAGCCTAGAGCCTCTTCTTCTGGATCTCCCATACAAGTGCAGGTCCCAAGGCCTTGGGCTATCCTCAACTGCCTTCCCAGGCCACAAACAGGGAGCTGGATGGAAAGTAGGGCTGCCAGGATCAGAACCAGTGCCCATGTGGGATCTTGGTGCATGCAAGCAAGGACTTTAGCTGCCAGGCTATCGCGCCAGGCCCCAGAGCCCTATACTCATAACCACTGAATTTTTCAAACATCCTTAAACTATTGGTTTGCTTTTACAACCTTATGGTCCAGAAATATTCTGAATCAAGGAATCCAGAATCTAGTAGGCAGAGGGAGCGCACAAAGTACATAAAATATGAACAATTAAACAAGTACACTAAGTATCATGATAAAGCAATGTCAGGTATATGGGAACAAATGGCAGGAAAAGCCAATCTAAAGAAAAGGCTTTTGTAGTGAAACACACACGTAGCCTGAAACCTGAAAGAAAAAAAAAAAAAAGACTCCAGAATTAGCTACAGGAGAGATAAAAAGAGAATCTAAAACAAGAATAGTCTGTGTAAAAGCCAGAAGGTAAGTGAAAAAGTGTGTAGGTTCGGCTGCGGGGCTTGGGTGAAGGGAACCCTCAGCCAGGTTGGACACAATGCTTGGGACTCTGGACATGGGCACTGCTGCCACACAGTGAGTGAGTCCTGGGCTTTGGACTGTTAGCGTGCCAAGTGGTAACAGGCTCTGCCTGCTGGCCGTCCCGCAGTGAGCTATATAGGATTTTGGAATATGTAATTGCTGTCTACGGATTTCCACGGATAAGGTCAATGTGCGTAAGTGAGGAATGAATCCTGTGTGACTCCCAGCAACAGGGTCACTCAACTTGCAGGCAAGCGTGGGGACTAAGACCTAGTGGTTTGGAGGGGAGGGTAAGATTTGTTTAGGTCAGACTGATTCTCCACACCACATGGCAGTCCCGAGATGGTCTGTTAGCATAGAACATCGCTGAGTGCCACACACCAGCCCACACGAGAGCTATGACTGAGGGCCTGTCTGGCAGGCTAGATCTCAGTACTTGACTGAGTGACAGAACAGGGGATGGGTCACATTAGGCAGGGTCATGATACTAAACAGCACGTAAGAGAACCAGGTCTGGGGGTAGATTCTGCAAGGGATAACAAGGTCCAACCCTGTGAAAGCACAAGTCCCACTTGTTAGCTTAAGAGTTGGGGTGGTGATAGATTGAGCAGGTCAAGGCTGCAGCACGCACATGTGCATCCTAAAACAGGGTGTGAGGCGGGTAGGGCTGCTACATCCTCCAGCTCATACAAAGGTCAAGATGGAGCGGCAGGCTAGGCTGGGCAAGGACCTAGCACCTGTCGTAGCATGTGAGATCTGGGTCAGGAAGTGGACCAAGTGGGGGAACCTGGGAAACTACCCTACCGGGATTACAGCTCTCGCTGGTGAGCTGGTGTTTCGGCTCTGGGTGTTGGGCAGCCTAAGCAGCTTAACTCCAACTCTTGGCTAATCTGTGGGTTGGTTTTGGTGAGGGGTGGACCAGGTAGGGCCAAGTCAATTTCACCTTACTAGAAAGAGCAGAAACCAGGTTGAAGTACAGCTCAAGCTCAGCTAGGGTGTCACACCTATTGGTTTGCATGAGCCAGGGTTGTGAGCATACGGAGCAGGGCCAGGTTCCAGCACCTGCCAGCAAGTGGTGGGACTTGGTGTAGGCTGGGTTACGCCAAGCTATAGCATCTAAGGCAAAGGCCAAGAGAGATGACAGGATATGCCAAGCTGGGTCAGAGCAACCATCGCCACGTGCAAGATCTATAGCTGGGAACAGACTTGGTTGAGGAGATAAGGGGACACCCTGTCTGGGCTGTGGTTCCCACTAGTAAGAATGGGACTGGAAAGAAAGTCACATTCTGGTCTGGAGAGGGCTGAGTGCACCAGACTGGGCTAGACCCCAGCATCCACTGGTGCTTGTGAGGATCAGGGCAGGTGTAGGACAGGTTAGGTTTGGTTTTTGCCCCTGCTGAGCCATGAGTGTGAGCTGTGTCTGTGTGTGGACCAGTCTAGACTGGGCTGTAATACCCAACAATAATAACCAGCCTGGGTTGAAGGCCAATCAGGAAAGGCCATTGTTCCTGCTAGGTCAGGAGGTGGATTGAGTAGGGCTGGCCCATGGACACAACAGTATGCATGAAATCTGGCATTGGGAGAGGTTCTGATAAAGGAGCCTGGGAAACTCCTCTGCCAGGACACAGTCCATGCAAGTGAGAACAAGAACCACGATAAGGGGCTGCCCAGACTATGCCAGGGAAGGGTATACCCACTGGCATACATATGGCACAGGTCAGGAGTGAACCAGGTAGGGCCAGTTCACATCACCCACTGGTGAATCTGAGCACCAGAATGGAGTGTAGGTCCACACCAGTACGCATGAAGGCCATGACTGGGTGCCAGCTGGGCTGGGATAGATTACAGCCCCACCAAACTGAGCTGGAACTGGGGTGGACTGGGCCAGGCCAGGCTACAGCACCCACTGGCAAAAGCTGAGGTGAGGCAGTCCATGCCAGACCAGGCCACAGCACCCAACCAACACATGCAAAACCCAGAGGAGGGGATGAAGCTGGTAGGAGCTCACCTGCTGGATCACTACTCCCACTGGAGAACATGAGTTGGGATGGGGGCAGAGAAGACTGGCAGAGCTACAACAACTTTGGCCTCATGTGAACTGCACCAGGGAAAAGCCAGGCTGGGTTGACTGTTCCTACTGATGCAAGTATAAGTCAGAGTGGGTGTGGGTTGGTTGGGTTCTGCTGCAGCATTAGCTGGCAGATGCTGGCATAGGGGTGGCTAATTCTGTCAAGCCAAACTGCAGAACCACCTGGAGAGTACATGATCTGGGAGTGTGATGGAGCCAGTAGGGAAACAGTGGGCACCTCCCTCCTGGGTTGCCACTCTGTCTGGGGAGCATGAGAACCAGGACTGGGGTAGGTATGGCTAGACAGAGTGGCACCTGTCAGCAGGTGTGTGTGGGCTGGATAGTGGGGCCAATTAGGTTGAACTAGGCTTCAATGCCCACTGACATTTATGAGAGCTGAATGGGATGTGGAACAAAATGAACCATTCTGCTGTACATATTGACAAGCATGGAAAAGCAAGGCAGCAGACAGGGCTGGTGAGGGTTATTGGGAGTCATCCCAACTAGGCCTTAGCTTTCACTGATTTATGTGGCCAGTTGTTTGGTGGGCAAGATTGGGATGGGCTCTAACAGCCACTGGTTTGTGTAGAAGACAGGGCTGGAGTCAGAACTGCTTCAGCAATGGCAACCATCAGCATATGCATAGGTTGATAGCGGCGACAGACTGTGCCAGATCCTGTACTGGCAAGAACACCCAAGAATCTGGTCTGGGATCACTTCAGACAAAATTTCTTTGGGAATCCCCCAAGCCAAACTGCTGGACTTAGAACCCCAACCATGAATTGAAGGTTCCATGGTCTGACCATGGAGTCCATATGGCAAACCTGAGCCACCTCAGTGGTTCTGACGGAGCAATGGACAGCACATCCAGGTACATATGGAGAATATGGTAGTACACTGGAGCCTGCATAGGACACTTGGTACCACCACAGAGGACAGAACAAATTGATCAACTACCCCAGCCAAGTGTTGGCAGAAAAAATTGGGCAAGTGGGAAAACACTAAAGTAGACTATGTCAGCCAGTAGATTCTGAAGAGATTTTATTGTGCTTGGAGTGGCGAGATTGGCAGCAATTCAGAACAGTTGAAATATCGAACTACTTGAGCAGTGCCATCGGAGCATGCCCCACACTGGGGACCCTGGGCTGGTTGGAAGGCTGGGTGTGGCTTCTTCCTTTGTCTCTCTCCTCCCCCCAGACAGAGGAAGGAAAAAAAAAGAATGTGGAAACAATGGTCCTACCCACTTTCCTAAGGCCCT